CAGCAAGATGGAGAGAGTCAGCAAGATGGGACTGAGATACGAAGCGAGGGACGGGGACGGGCCCATGCCCAGGCACGTTATACAGAGGGAAGGGGAGCCACGACCTGCTGGTGGAAGTGAACTGGTCTCTCCCTAATTGTTTCTACCCACCCTACCCGATCTGGCAGGAGAGGCATGCTCTGGGTACCATCAGCTAGAGAGCATCAGCTGGTGGGGCCCAGAAGGAGAGCCTTTTCTGCCATGGCACCCTCTTTTTGGAACATCATCCCCCCTGGGGTTAGGATGGCCCTGTTCCTGTTGGCCTTTCATAAGGCCTTGGAAATTTGGCCTGGGGCCCTGGGTGTATGACAGAGCCCATCTGCTGGCTGTGTGGCTGATTGATTAGATGATGACCTGCTGCTGTGTGTTTTATTTTTATTTTCTATTTTTATATTGTGCATTTATGTATTTTATTGTAAGCCTCCTAGAGTCACGTAACAGTGAGAATAGTTATATAAATCAAATAAATACTTAGATACTCCACTTGGTTACCAAATTAATTCATTTTCTGGATAAGCACAATGCACTGGGCCCGAGTCTTCGAAAGGGCTGAGCATGCATGCTGAACCATAAACACTGAACCACACAAAACAATAAACTAGATCTTTAACTGATTTGGTTACACACTTTGCGTGAAGCCAGCTGTTCACTAAGATGGGAAGCAGGGGGAAGAAAACCCGAGATGAGTGAATGTTTCATCCAAGGAGAATGGCACAGAGCTTGTGGCAAAAAACAAGGCTGCAGGGGCCAAGTGACCAGCAGCAGCAAGTGAGAATGCGTGATCATGGGTGGGAAGATTTTTAAGCGGGTGGCGGGGCGGGTGGGAGTAAATGGTAAAATGAAGTCCCAAGTGATGGAGGCAAGGATGAAGCAAGACTCGAGCGAGCGAGTCAATACGGGAGCTAAGTAAATAAGGAAGGGGATTCAGCGGCAAGGGAAGGGAAAGAGGGTTTGTGCCCCTGCGTGGGAGACTCAGAAGCCCAGCCGGGGGACTCCTTGGGTGGAAAGAGTCGGCCGCGGGGCAAGAGAGTGGCCAGTCTCCTTCCCCGACCAAAAGTCTTGACCTACAACCCCCATCTTTCCCAATCCAGGATGATGGGGATAGTAGTCCAAGGCATCCAGAAGGCGCCACTGGCCTTGGGGGAAGAGGGACTTGTAGTCCAACCCACTCGGGAAGATGCCAGCCAATCGTAGCGGCTGTGAGCGATGGGAGTGGCAGTCTGACATCTCCGGACAGGCTGCTGGGGATGATGGGCATCGGTGAGGATGGTCTACCGAGCTCTCCCAGGCACGCCCCTTTCGTCGCGCTGGCTGGGAACGATGGGGAGCGGAGTCCGTGCCCCAGAGAAGCGAATGAAGGAACCGTGGGTCCCCGAAGAGCCCCCTCCGTGATTACAGAGATCGTT